TTCCTCCTCTTTTCCCTCCTCACCGACCCTCTGAGTTCGTTGTTAACCGTAATTTGGCTGTTCTGGTGGAGGAGCAGCTGCAGGTCCATGGAAGGGAAGCAAGGGCAGGTGCCCCATCGACAGAGACTGGGCAGCATCGTCAGGGCACCGGGAGGTGCTGCCCGGCATGGCCACCTGCGGCGGCTGCTCCGGACGGAGCTGGGGCGAAAGGAGAGCGAGTGCCGCAGCACTGCGTCCCTGTGGGGAACAGATCAGCACCGGGACTGTCTCGCATGATAAGCCTCTGTTTGTTACGAAATTGTCCTGCTCACACACCACTGGTCGATGTTTGTCTGGGTTTCTTGCTGTACTAATTTTGTGATAGATCTTATGTATTAAAAATATATATGTATAAAATACAAAAGGCTGGTAGGTAACCAGTAAATGGGACTTAAAAAGCAGTATTTTTCTTTTATGTGACATTTTCATAACCAGAAAAAAAAAAGAAAAGATCTGAAATACTAATCAGACAAATAAAAAGAGAGTGCATTTATTTTTTTGTATCACTGCAAGTATGTTGGAATATGCAAGGACTGTGGTTAAAATTAGAATGTATGAGGCATATTATAATTTAGTTCATACTGAAAAAATCTAACAGCATTTCTTGGTTTGTGCATTTGAACGATCTCTGGGTTAGATATATAGATTTTTCTATTTTGTTTTAATTTGTAATTTTTTCCCCCCCTCCATGAATTTTAGGTACACATAACTTATGTCATTTATTTATGGTCTTTTATACCTAGTTTGTAAAATTGTAAAATAGCAAACAATGCAAACATTTGCATTTGAAAATAATAAAGTAGTTGCTGTACAAACCTGGAATGGACTATTTCTAATTATTGCATGGTTTTTTGATTAGTGTTTATCCACAACAGGTACAAATACAGAACTCAGAGCAACAGTCGTGGTGTTTGCCCGAGAGGGATTAATTCTCTTCAGTAGATTTCACAGGAACGCGCTCCTGAAGTCCATTTAAACTGTGTAACTCCCACATGTACATTAACACACGTTACTTTTTCTTGTTACGGTCCTGGATTGTGTGGTGGTGGTGCTGAATATTTGTAACGCAGAAAGGATGCTGCCGTCAGGCTGGCCTTGCTAACGATGGCAAGGATTTTCCCCCAGAGACCAGGTAGTATCCATGGGCGCCAGGCCTGCGAGAAACCTGCAGGATCATAATGCTGTTTCACTTGCACTCCTGGGATCGGCTGGGAACAGCCTCCCTCCCCTCTCTCCCATTGCCTGGGCCATGCCTGGGGCCAAACGTCACCTCGGCAGAAATCCTATGGTTTTCACAGCTTCCTTTGGGCCACGATTTCGCCTCTAATACGGGAACCATGACCTTGCTGCTGAGTTACTGCACTTGTTGCTCTGCTTGTGGGCTACGTTTGCGTGGGTCGATGGCTCGTGTTGGAGACTCATGGCCAGAGAGGGAGAAGATGGAAAGAGGAGGAGGGAGGGGAGGGAGAAGCTGAGGGACAAAATGCAAACCGGAGGCGCGAGAGCATCAGGAGCAGCAGAAAATGGAGAGGGAGGGTTTGTGTGAGGAGTGTGCTGAGCCAGAGTCGGAGAGTGGATATTGTGTAAGGGCCATCGCTGTGTAATGGTGGCACGTGTGTGGGCGCATGCGGCGCAGCCTGGGTGCCACAGGTGGAGTGTCCTTAACCGTCACTTCTTTACAATGCTGCTGCTTCCTTTAGGATATACAGGCTTTCTGGCAGTTAACGATCTCCGTTACATATGCACGCGGTTCACAGGGACTGCAGAAAGGATGGTGACTCTTCTCAAAATTTTCTTCAGCTTTTGGATTGTCTATTTGAAAAATATTTTTAACAAAATTCTTCTTGGGAAAGATTCCAGTCACGCCAGCAGAACCTTTTTGTACAGCGTAGTGGTCCCAAGAAAGTCCCACCAATGGCAGTGGGTTGTGATATTTTAAAAGCAAGTTTGTTGTGTCCTTTTGTACCCGAGGGAGCCAGCGAGCCAAGCGCGTGTTGCTCTGGTGCCTTCGTTCAGCCAGTCGATGTATTAAGAGAGAATGTGTCATGGCTGGAAAAACAGATTCCATTTCACATGTACAAAGAAGTTTTACAAATTACTTAGTTTTATTGTGAAATGAAAGCAAAACCTTTACATCTTTTTAAGAAACAACTGTTTCAAAACGTCCAGTGAAGATTGAGCACTTGGGTACTCTCCCTTCTCTTTCTGATTCTCTGCTCGTTTTCCCTTTTAGCTCCCAAATCTAAGAAATCATCCCATCCAAACTTTTTACCTCGATGATTTAATTTTCTTCCAAGTATATGGATTTTACTGAAATATCTCCTTACCAAAAAGACATTTGTTCTCTCTCTGCTTTTTTTTCCACATATTTCTACAGTAGCATGAGGCAAGTGAATTTATTTACATATAAAGCCTATATATTTGCATCTCAGTGGCAATGTATGTAGCTGCCCATGGGCTGAGCATGGAGTAGTGCAGAGAACAGACGTGGTTTATCCAAGAGGCATTGGGGCCGTTCTAGACATGTCAACGAAAACAAAATGGTTTTTGACAATTGGGAAGGGGAAAAAAAAAAAGCATGTTATGCTCTAAATCAACAACATGATTAAAACTAGAGCTGTGTTTGAGGCCTTGACCTCAGTTATTTTACACTTTCCTTTGCAGGGAAGTACCCTTGGGCCATTGACTGATTCTCTATTGAATGGGTTACAGACCTCTGACATATCTTATTTCTGGCAGTGGCCCTGAACGTAATTCTTTGTTTACAGGAGCCTCCGAGAAAGTTACATGAATATGTAGACGTTTTCTTTAAAAAATAAAATTGAAACCTAAAGCATTCTATTCCAATCAGCTTAGTAAAATGTATTCTCCATGGGTGGATGGAGAGGGTAGCCACAGGAATATGCTACACTAACCTGCTTTTATACATATATATGTGGCAATTATATTCCAGTAATCTGCTGTGGATTACTAGCCTGTAACCAGACCAACAAAAGATAATGAAATCTTTGTTTTTATAGTGCTCTTGAACTTACTCATGATTCTGTTCTATAAATCTTGTAATGAATTAAATGGGCTGAGGTGTTTTGGCATTTGTTTTTTGAAGACTGTTTTTAAAATAAATAAAAAAAAAAGCTCTGGTCAGCAGAACAAACCCCCTGTCAGGAACCCTGCTTTGCTCCCACGTCTGCCAAGGAACCTGCCCCCCCCCGAGGCCAATAACTAAAATCTCGGGGCCGGGCAGTCCAGGGCTGTTAGGCAATTACAGGTGCAGGTTGGTGCCTACTGCCAACTTTTTAATGATGCTTTGGAGCTGCTTAGCCGAGGGGTGCAGCAGCTCACGTAATGAGCTCCCACTTCCCAGTCGGATTTTCAGCCTTGCATTAAGTGTCTTGCTGACAAAGCTTCCAAAACGTCTCCATCATAATCACGTGGGGGAGGGATTTCTCAGAAGCTGACC